GAGCAATGGTATAGAAAGAAGATCCCGTCCAGACATCTCTGCCCATCGAAAGTATCTAGCGCAGAATTGGGTTCTGATTCAAGCGAAAGAAGGACCAGATTCGTCTCGTTTCGTTGCAAATTTGAGCCGTAGACAGAATCTAATAAGTTAAAGTTTCCTTCTTTGATTGCTTTAGAGACACCGGCGGCGAGGGTTTTAGCAGAATCAGACGAAAACCCACGAGAGTTCAGGCAATTCAGCTTCACGAACACAGAGAAAATCGGCGGGAAAATCTTGCGTAATTGTAAAGACGATGAAGAAAAAAGAAACATCTTTCACAGAGTTCCCATTGCCGCGGAAACAGAGCGAATTCGTTCTTTTTCCTTGATTTTTCAAACACGCAAGCCGACATAACTAATGGGCCCTTTAGTGGATCAGCCCAATAGATTTATTTAATGGAAGCGACTCTCTCCATCGTTAAACCCTAATTTTATTATTAGCCGCCGTTGCAAGGACCCGGTTTATCTCAACCCGACCCGACTTATGGGCTTTATTGGTCCGGCCCAATAGTCTGATGAAATACGTTTCTTTATTTAACGGAACCGATTCTCTTCTCTCAAAACCCTAATTCTCTTACTCTTGTTTCCACCGCCGCGCTAAGTAAATCTCCGGCGTCGGAGTTTATGATTCATTTGCTGATATAGATGATTTCTTACATGGGTTTTGCTCAAATTTACATAATATCCTTAGTCGGTAGCAAAGTTTGATTCTTTTTGTTTTATTGGTTCAAATTTCTTGTGTTGTTCTTTGTGAATGGGCTTAAGAGGTTTGTGAAATTGCACTATGTATCGAAGGCTATGTCGATTACAGTGACATAGTCTTTGAGCAAAAGTGCAGAAAGAAAGAGCTGTTAAATCAGCAAGCGGCCAGACAACCGTCGGGATAGATCCACAGGTGAAGCGGATTCTTCCTCTGCTTTCAGCTACTAAATCTATCCTACAGATTTGTGAACATTGTGAATCTCAATTTGAACCATCCAATACTTCAAATTTGTTGTTGTTGTTTATTGCACCTTGTATAGAAGGTCATGCCTCGTTCTGGTGGCATGGCCATTTTCTAGGATGCGTAAAGGAATAGCTGTTAATTCAGTAAGCGGCCAGACAACCGTTGGGATAGATCCACTGTTGTTGCGGTTTTTTCTCTCCGCTCTCAACTACTAAATATATCCCACATTTTCTCTACTTATCAATCCGAATTTTCACTATTGATTGGTTCTGTGGATTTGGTTTTGCGTATATATTCTCTAAACAGACAGAAGACTTGATTTGAGTAATGAATTCACTCTTAAAATTTGACAAGGGTCTCATAAGCCTTTATCCTGTGTTCTGAGACAACTACTAATGCTTGACCAAAGTTTCTCAGTTGGGTATATGGTTGGAGTCTGAACTTGAACTAAAGAAATCCAAGTGGAAGTAAAAGCTGGTTGTTTCAATGGACAAAGTAACCTTTAGGACCTAAACAATACTTTTGAAATTGCTAGCAAGTGTTTCAGAATTTTTGAGCTATCAAGATATCTGAACGGTTGTTAAGTTACATTGGAAACTGGTTGTGAATTTTACACCACTCAAAATTAGTGAACAAATTCCAAATCCTTGTGTTAAATTTCACTTTTGAACCCTAAAAGCAATGTTGTATTGTATGGTGGTGTCCTAGGTAGTCTTGGGCGTTCGGTTATCCCATTGGTTATCGGTTCGGTTTCATTTAGTTTCAGTTTTTTGGTTATAAAATTTAGTATCTATTCGGGTATTTTGAAATTTTGGTTCGGTTCCGGTTATTTTGGTTTTAAAATTTACTATCCATTCGATTATTTTGCTTTGAATATTTTTGGATATTTCTGTTATTTTGGGTATTTTCGTATATTTTAAGATATTTTTTGGTTATTTTCGGGTATTTTTACTATTTTTATAAATCTATACTAGTATTTTTGATTATTTGGTCTATAAATAACTAATATTTTTGAAAATATAATTGTATTTCGGGTATTTTCGATTACCTGAAATATTTCGGTTCGGTGCCGATTCGGTTACGATTATTTCGGTTATAGAATTTAGTATCCATTTGGTTATTTTCAAATTTTTGGTTCGGTTTTGGTTCGGTACATTCGGTTCGATTATTTGCCCAGTCTAGTCCTAGGGGTAGAGGAACAACACCAATCCATCCTGAACTTGGTGGTTAAACTCTACTTGATGATACTCGGAAAAATAGCTCGACGTCAGGATGATGAAAAACTTAACACTTTTCATTCTTATTACTTTTTTGTATTGAAAAAAAAACTGAAAAATGAAATGGTTGTCTTATCCAAAACCGCCAATTATGAAATCTCTTCTAAATCTTCATAAAAAAAGCTCTCACTTCCTTTCGAACCAACTTAATAATATATGGAGTCTTTTGTCGTTTAATTATTCAGGATTTTGTTGTTATTGATTTGTGGCTTTAAAATTGGTTAGAAGCTAAAGAAAATTAGTTGGAACAAAAAGCGACAATACTATATGTACGAATTAGAAGATTCTTTTTTTTTTTCCAGTTGTGAAGATCTAAAACTCTTTTTACCAAAAACCAGCCCTATGTAAATAAATTGTTGGTAGTAAACTAGTTACTTGTAAGATTCTTATTTTAGGCAGTACAAAAAGAAGATATTTGAAGTTTTCTGTTTTGATGGTAAATATTGTCGTACCGTATTACCATGACATACGACAATTGCAACACTGCAACATGGTACAAACCCAATTCAAGGCTAGCCACTACCTACCACAAACATCGATCCGTATATAATTTGGTCACACGTGACTAAATTTTATCATGTATTATTGTCCTGCCCAATTTAAGCAAGGGACCCATGAATTCAAAAACTGATATAAGATCCAAAGCTTGGTGATAGGAGATGGAGTCACGGAAAGCAACAAGCTGGCTTTAACGCTCTCTCTTGTTGTTCAACGGATGGATGCGGAGATATATATGGGATCAAACGAGCTGGCGGTCGCTCTCTCTCGTTGGATCGATTGATGGTTTTGATGGTGTATCGAGGATCGCCACTCAAAGGTGTGACAGCCTTTGTGATGAGATCACGAATCTAGACCTTAATGAATCCCCAAAAAGGACATAGACTCAAACGTTTACTAAGTAAAGGAATCCACCTAACTTAGATAAACAAAAACAAAGCCTAAGCTTTAGAGAAAATTCTCTCTTTTATATTCCAAAAATCTATATCTTTACAATGAATGGAGAAATGAGTTTATATAGACTCAATTTACATCATCAACATAAATGCAAAATAAATCAAATTAATTACATAAATCAATTAAGAATTAATTTTGAGAGATTGTGTCAATCATCTTTAATGGAGATTGGTTTTTTTGTATCTAGACACTTTCTTCATACTCCTTTGAATTTGGGCTTGATATGCATTGAACCATTTGTTGATGGGCCATAAACGTTAACTGTATTTTCAAGATTGTATCAAAAACCAAAAATCTATTTTTTTTGCCTGAAATACTATTTGGCTTGTTCAGTTGATCTGTTTGGTAATTATTTTTCAAAATATGTATATTTGTTTATGGTTTTGAATGGTTGGTTCATATGATGCAGATCATACCATGTGTACTTGCGTACTAATATTTTGATAAGGAAAACGTGGGACTGTAGTATGGAGCTAACAATAGTATGCACTAAGACATACAATGGTACATTGGTATGAAAACTATAACGAACCAACAGTAAATTTACGATGGTATGGAGTTTTATGCTCAAGTGCGTATTAGTATAGAAATTTTTAGTGCGCAATAATTTATATTGGTCCGCACTTGTAAATGGTAAATTAAGTGCGGACTAATCCGACTTTAGTCTGATTCGCAACATACTACAAAACCATTCAAAGTGTAAGAGTGTGATACAGATTTCATATATATTTGTTAGGGTAAACAAACAATTAATATCACATAGTATAGTTTAGTTTTGTACATTTTCATTATGGTTTGAACTTTGAAGCTGAGTTAAATTTCTAAATCATGTATGTTTGGTTTTTTTTCAAATCTAGACAATTTAATTATTAGGAAACTAAAATAAATACTAAAAAAAGAGCATTAGTGAAGAGCTTAGTTCTTTCCTCAACTTCTATCAATTTAGTAAACTAATCAAGACTCTTAATTAGATATTTGTAGTAGTAAAGCACATGCGCAAATTCGAGATCCAGATCCATCTTTATGATCTCACACACATTTGTCATCTCCATTGTTAAAAACATTTCTTCCCAGAAAGCAAGAATCTTTAAAAAGCCACTCAATGACACGAGGCGAAATATCTCTTTTTTCCAATATATAAATAATTGTAATTCATTCTTTTGAAATCTGGGTTTATTCGACAAAAAGGGGTTTGTTTTGTTTTCTTCTTCAAGTATCTCTGAATCGTTTCAAAAGCTTCATTATTCATCAACTTAACTAACGACGGAGATCTCAAGACGACCCTCGACTCTCTCACGGTTCGTGTTTCTTCACCTCTCGTAAAGATTTAAACTTTTGTTATCTTTCATCAATCTCTGTTTTTGAGTGATCTAGTTCTGAAATCTTTAGTCTAAGCTCCTTTTATGTTTCTTTTGGATTCTGTTAATGCTTATTGAAGATACCCATCTGAGAAAAGTAATAAAAAAACTCTCCTTTTTTGCTTTTTTGCTTTCCCAATTATGACGAACCCTAGATTCAAAATTCAGAATCTGTATCAATTTTGAGTAATTTATAAGGATTGTTGCAGATATCAAACTCTTATTGGGATGTGGAGAGTTCTAATCCGTTTAAAATCTGGATGACGTTATGCAGAAGCGGAGAATCATCACTGTGGATCCATCGACGTCTATTGAGATGAGACAGTACAGTAACAATGATGTTCCTTACTCAAGTGTCGGTGATGATGAGGTTCCGTCATCGCCTAAAGCTACCGATAAGATTCGGAAAGTTTCGATGTTGCCACTTGTTTTCCTCATTTTCTATGAAGTCTCAGGAGGTCCTTTTGGTGTAGAGGATAGTGTGAATGCTGCTGGACCATTGTTAGCTCTTTTAGGGTTTGTGATCTTTCCTTTCATTTGGAGTATTCCTGAGGCTTTGATCACTGCGGAGATGGGCACAATGTTTCCCGAGAATGGCGGTTATGTCGTGTGGGTCTCCTCTGCTTTGGGGCCATTTTGGGGGTTTCAGCAAGGTTGGATGAAATGGCTTAGTGGTGTTATTGATAATGCGTTGTATCCTGTTCTGTTTCTTGATTATTTGAAATCTGGAATCCCGGCTCTAGGTAGCGGTTTGCCGAGAGTTGCAGCGATCTTGGTGTTGACTATTTTGTTGACGTATCTGAACTACAGGGGACTAACTATAGTTGGTTGGGTTGCTGTGCTTATGGGAGTTTTCTCGATCCTTCCGTTTGCTGTGATGGGTTTGATTTCGATTCCGCAGCTAGAGCCTTCGAGATGGCTTGTAATGGACTTAGGGAATGTGAACTGGAATTTGTATCTAAACACGCTTTTCTGGAATCTAAACTATTGGGATTCGATCAGCACACTAGCTGGTGAAGTCGAAAACCCAAACCATACGCTTCCAAAGGCTTTGTATTATGGTGTGATCTTAGTTGCTTGTTCTTACATCTTCCCTCTTTTGGCTGGAATCGGGGCAATCCCGCTAGAGCGTGAGAAATGGACAGATGGGTATTTTTCTGACGTGGCCAAAGCTCTCGGTGGAGCATGGTTGAGATGGTGGGTTCAAGCGGCTGCAGCTACATCAAACATGGGAATGTTTCTAGCCGAGATGAGTAGTGACTCTTTTCAGCTTCTCGGAATGGCTGAGCGCGGTATGCTTCCCGAGTTCTTTGCCAAAAGGTCACGTTACGGGACACCTTTACTAGGGATTCTGTTTTCAGCTTCAGGCGTTGTGCTCTTGTCCTGGCTAAGCTTTCAAGAGATTGTAGCTGCAGAGAACTTACTCTACTGCGTTGGAATGATCTTGGAGTTTATAGCATTTGTTAGAATGAGAATGAAACACCCGGCTGCATCAAGACCGTACAAAATACCTATTGGAACCACAGGTTCGATCCTCATGTGTGTCCCTCCAACCATACTGATCTTTGCTGTTGTAGCACTCTCGTCTCTTAAAGTAGCTGCAGTGAGCATTGTGATGATGATCATTGGTTTCGTAATGCATCCTTGTCTGAACCATATGGATCGAAAGAGATGGCTCAAGTTCTCCATCAGTTCTGACTTACCGGACCTTCAGCAGGAGACTCGGGAGTACGAAGAAACTCTAATACGTTAGCAGTGTTCTTTGTTCTTTGCCTCATCTATGTTTAAGTACAGAGCCAAAAAGCTTGAATTTTATGGTCTGTTCAGTGTTCTCTGCTTATTCACAGCTTGTTCTAAAAGTTGTAGTTTTTTCGTAAATACGGTTTTAATAAAATGTGCAATGCTTTTGTATCTTTTCCTTTTTTGGTCATTGCCACTGCTATTGTCGATTTGTGTAAAACAAGGTTTGGGAAATTTGAAGGCTTTGAACAAAAACCTTGGATCAAAGTCTAGTTAACAGTGTCAAATCTTGGATCTTTGGATAAGGTTTCATCGCTAATGATTGGAAAGAGAGAAAAAAACTTCACAAAACCCAAAAAGCATAATCAGGACAAGTATATCCGTGTTTGACCATTCTGTCTCAATAGATCGGAGATTCCATCGCCAGCGTCTCCGTCTGTTTGCTCAACTTGATTATTTTATTAATATTTAGGACTTGTCATTTGATATGGACAATCTCAAAACAGAGAACCACAACTTCTTCAATCCTTTCCAAGATATGACTACTATAACGATATGGGTGTGTTTTCTTTTCTTCTTAAAGCATAGCTCAATCTTTGTTAATCTTCAGACAAAGAAGATCTTCAGACAACAATCGATTCTCTCACGGTTCGTACTTCTTCTACCTCTTGTAAATGTTTAGACTTTCGTATCAAGACTTCAAGAATTTCTCTGATTGTTTTTAAAGTTTTTTTCTTTTTCTTTTTGTTGATTCAGAAGGGAAGAATCATTACCATGAGAGACTATAACATGAATGACTTTGCTTATGGTGCTCTTCACGATGATGATGATGATGGTGTTCCATCCTCTAAAGCAGCAACAAATTCGATACAGAAAGTTTCAATGTTACCACTCGTTTTCCTTATATTCTACGAAGTCTCAGGTGGTCCTTTTGGTGCTGAAGGTAGTGTGAATGCAGCAGGACCATTGTTAGCTCTTTTGGGGTTTGTGATCTTCCCTTTCGTTTGGTGTATCCCTGAGGCACTAATCACTGCAGAGATGAGTACAATGTTCCCAATAAATGGGGGTTTCGTGGTTTGGGTCTCCTCTGCTTTAGGACCCTTTTGGGGGTTTCAAGTAGGTTGGATGAAATGGCTTTGCGGTGTTATCGATAACGCTTTGTATCCTGTTCTCTTCCTTGATTATTTGAAATCCGCTATCCCGGCTTTAGCTACTGGTTTGCCAAGAGTTGCATCGATCTTGATCTTGACTCTATTGCTTACTTACTTAAACTATAGAGGACTAACCATTGTTGGTTGGACTGCTGTGTTTATGGGAGTTTTCTCTATGCTTCCGTTTGCGGTAATGAGTCTCGTTTCGATTCCACAGCTCGAGCCTTCGAGATGGCTTGTGATGGATTTAGGAAATGTCAACTGGAACTTGTATCTCAACACGCTTTTCTGGAATCTAAACTATTGGGATTCGGTTAGTACACTAGCCGGTGAAGTGGCAAACCCGAAGCAAACACTTCCTAAGGCTTTGTCCTACGGTGTTATCTTTGTCGCTCTTGCAAACTTCCTCCCTCTTTTGTCTGGAACCGGGGCTATCCCGCTGAATCGTGAGTTATGGACGGATGGTTATTTAGCTGAAGTTGCTCTAGCTATTGGTGGAGGATGGTTGCGGTTGTGGGTTCAAGCGGCTGCCGCTACATCAAACATGGGAATGTTTTTAGCCGAAATGAGTAGTGATTCGTTTCAGCTACTAGGAATGGCTGAACTCGGTATGCTTCCCGAGATGTTTGCGAAAAGATCTCGTTACGGGACACCTTTATTAGGGATTCTGTTTTCAGCTTCAGGTGTTTTACTCTTGTCTGGATTAAGCTTTCAAGAGATTGTAGCTGCAGAGAATTTGCTTTACTGTGGTGGAATGATTTTGGAGTTGATAGCATTTGTTAGAATGAGGATAAAACATCCGGCTGCATTGAGACCCTATAAGATACCCGTTGGAACCGTTGGTTCGATTTTGATCTGTGTTCCTCCCATTGTACTGATCTGTTTCGTTGTTGTCCTATCTACTCTGAAAGTGGCTTTAGTGAGCTTTGTGATGGTAATATTTGGCTTCTTGATGAAACCTTGTTTGAACCACATTGATCGAAAGAGATGGGTCAAATTCTCAGTCAGTTCTGATTTGGCAGAGTTTCAGAATGAGAATTTGGATTGTGAAGAGTCTTTGTTACGTTAGACTTAGGATTATTTGCAAAGGTAAACAAACTGTATATTTTTTCTGCTTGTTTTGTACTTTTTGTTCAAATTCTTTGTTGTCTGTTTAAAGATCATAAGCACAAGAAGATATTTCTAAAATCATTCAATTTTAGAAATAAATGGGCATATGGGTCAGATAGGCCCATTTAAATTGAGAAGGCCCAATAAGCAGTACAGAATTCATTTGTAGATCTACTGTTTATGTGATCGAGAACGAAGAAAATGCTCACAAATGTTTGAAAGAAAAAAACCCTAAACCTCCAAAATTTGCTTCGAGAAGAAAATGAATGGTGTTTCTCGTTATCTTCGAGCTTCTTCACTTCCGTCGTTGATTCGCAGCTATGGTGGAATCAATTCGGTCTGTCGATTTTCGTCTCAATCTGATGGCTTCTCTGGTTCGTTATTTCCCATTCTTTATCTCTTCCGCTCCGAGCAAGCGAATTTGCTTCAATTTTGAGTAAATGGCTCAGATTAACGAGTTGATTTGGGATCAATCTTTCTGGGTTTTATCTGATTTATGCATTTGTACTATCAAAGTTTTGGATTCGTCAGTTAAGTTATTCACTATCGTCAAGTGATGTTGTTCTCCATGAAAATGTGCAATTTCGTGATTAGGGATTGTTCGATTCGCGTTAGGATTGTAACCTTTACCTAGAAGTACAAAATCGAGGATTGAATCAATTAGACTCGCGTAATCTCAAAGATTAGCTTCTTATGGCTCTTAAACATTTTGCTTTATTCAGAAATTAGGCAATAGTTGCGATTGATAACGAGAAATCTACAAATTCTGAATCTAGAAAACAATTATTTAGTTAGTTTTCCAGATTATGTCGTCCTGTGGAACAGCTTTAGTCTTTAGTTGAAAAATCATCGGAATTATGCGAGGAGGGAATAAAAACGTATATGTATTGATTGATTTTTCTTTGAACAGGAGGGAGATTCAGAGAGCAAGGGCCAGTTCCTGGAGAGTCTGCAAATAATTCAGGCTTACCAAACACGGGAAGATTCGGTTCCCCTTCGGAGCCTAACCCTCCGACTCTGAGAACTTTCGGTGATATGAAAGCAGGCTTGTTAAACAGAGGAGTAAACGGTTTCTCGGCTCCTAATGCTCCTCCTACCTTCAAAAATTCACTGAGATCAAGATTACCTAACTCCCTACCTGATCAGTTCAGTCAGACGAATCCAGGCTTACCAAACACTGGAGGAAGCGGATTCTCTGCTCCTAGTGTATCAAGCTACGAGAATTTCACTCAATCTTCACTTCTCAATGAGAATCCCCGCAGTGGAGGGAAGTCAAGCGACCTGGATTTTGTTAGAGAAGTAATAGAAGATGAAGGAAGGAGAACCTCAGGGATATTCTCTCATTTCCATCGCCCAAACCTCGAAACGAATGCTGACATCATTCACATCAAGATGTTGCGGAACAACACTTTTGTCACGGTTACAGATTCCAAAGGAAACGTCAAATGCAAAGCAACATCCGGTAGTTTACCCGATCTGAAAGGTGGACGGAAGATGACAAATTACACAGCTGATGCAACCGCAGAAAACATTGGGAGAAGAGCTAAGGCTATGGGACTGAAATCTGTGGTTGTTAAGGTTAACGGATTTACACACTTCGGGAAGAAGAAGAAAGCCATTATTGCGTTTAGGGACGGTTTCACCAACTCTAGGTCTGATCAGAATCCGATAGTGTACATCGAGGACACGACTAGGAAAGCTCATAATGGTTGCAGATTACCAAAGAAACGTCGGGTGTGAAAAGAAAACATCGCATGTCCTCTCTTGTTATTCTATGGTCACTATAGACACCATCTCTTTTGGCAAGTTCTCTTTTTTGTTGGTTATGTTTTCTCCTTTAAATCCGAGGAATATCGGGGTATTAAAGGGATTTGATTAATAATCCTAATCTTCGTTTTGTTATTAGAATCTTTGATTGAGATCAATGCGAATCTTACGAATGATTTGAGAGAAAGAGCTAGGACTCTTGCTTATGATTGGAAACCGAATATAGGTAACAAACCATCAGAAGCGTTAGGGTTTTTGCATTTGGTTGCAGCTTTTGAATTGGGGTCTTTGTTTAGTATCGAGGAGCTTTGTGATTACGTTTTCTTGATCTCTAAGTATAAACAAGCAACAACGATCTGTAGGAAGATTGGTTTAGGTAGAAATCGAATCGGACTTCTCGTCCAGAAGTTCTTGGATACTGGGAGATTACTTGTTGCTATCAAATTCATTTATGAGTTTGAGATGACTGGTGAATTTGAACCAGTTTCGATTTTGAAAACTAGTTTGAAGAACTCTAGAGAAGCTGCTAAGAGAGTTTGCGCCGAAGGGAATTACTCTCTCAAGGCACAGAACGAAGCTACTGATAAAGAGCTCAGTGCTTTGAGAGCAGTGATTAAAGTAGTGAAAGAGAAAAACATTGAGTCTGAGTTTTCTGAAGAGAAACTCGAAGAATGCGTTAAGGAGTTGGAGGATCAGAAAGCTCAGAGGAAGCGTGCCACTAAGTTAAACTCACCTGCTAATCCTCAACAACCACAACAGCAAAAGGTCGATAATAAGCGTCCTCGAGTTGCTAATGGTTCAAGTATGGAATATAGTTTGACAGTCCCACCTCTGAGTCAGCAACAACCTCTTTTGCCTAATCCTAGCCAGAGTTTACAAGTGAACCCATATGGTCTCTTGAGCTCAATTTTACCTGGTGTTGCTGTCCCATATGGCAACCCATTGGCACTATATGGCTCGGTTCCAGCTCCAGCTCCTCGACCAGTCTTTTATGAGCAGCAAACTGGTTATGGTGGATATGGGATGCCACCTCAATACCAACTACCTTACTACCCTCAGTAAATTTATTATACGAATGCAAGCGCGATATTGAGAGGATTTCTGGTCGAAGATGTCTATGGTCAATGTGTTTTTGATGTTCTGTAATGAACATCAAGTAAATTTCGAATTTGACATAGATAACACTCGTTATAGTTGCTGTTATTGTGATAATATAAGGGCAAATTGATCCTTTTTTGCCTTGATTGTACAGTTTTATAACCTAACCTTAATATTTTGTTAAGTAGTTTAGTTTCCTTGTGGAGGAATGGTCTTTATGGTTTGATCTTACATTTGTTTTCCTTGATTTGGTTGGTAATCTGCCAAGATTTATTCCTCCCTTTTTTCTTATAATCACCAAGATTCCTTTCTTAATGTGTCTTGATTTAGGACAGTAGAGTTTTTATAGTAAAGATGTTAATGGCTTGATTTGTTGTTGTGAAAAGAAATCAACGTTTCTGAGTATCTAAATTGATATGGTCCAAAGGATATGCCTTTTACCAAATTTTTTTCAACTAACACAGAAACATAATTATTTTTCCACAGTAAATAAAACAGAATTTAAAACAAAAGGATATGCTTATAGTTTATTTTTTCTGATAGAACAGAAAATAGACGAAAATTAAAAGTGTCGTCTCGTTTCAATGGAGAAGGAACATGTTCGATGAGCAATAATAGAAAACACAGAACATGTTCTTTGTTGGAACAGTTGTACCCACATTGATCGGAATAAGCCAATCAACGAGGTGCCTGAATCCACGTATACAGTATCTATCTCTAAAAGATTTATTTTCCTTATAAAGAAAATATTTAATAGTTATGGGCCTGAAGATTATCGCCCCATATATATCTCACGCGTCGTCCTCGTCTTCTCCGTATTACACTGATTTAATTCTCCTACCTATCTCAACTTCCTACGTTTATTCATCATTCATGGGTTTGAAGGTACGTTAAGATCCATATGCACCAAACCGATCTCGGTTTCGGTTTCTTTCTCGGATCTAGTTTTGTTTTGTCTTTCGTAATCGACCGTGTTGAGTTTGTTGTGATCACGAATCCTGATTTCTTCGATTGATTTCTAGATTTTCTGTGTTAGTAGACTTGTTTGATCCAGATTGGGAAAATTGATTTTGTACCATATTTCTAGGACTATATGTTCCTTATTGATATCCTGTTAACGATTAGAAAGAGTTTAGGTAAAGTAAAAAAACAAAAATTCAATTACGAAATTGAAGCTTGTATAGTCAAGAGTGATCACTTTATGGAATTGAATTATACTGATCAAGCTTTTTCTCTGTATGATCTTGTCCATTTACTGTTCTTGTTTGCAGATGGGTAATATACATTTGAATCTGAGTTAGGTTTGGTTTTGTGTTTTTAGTTGAGTTTGATTTGAAGTCTCGTTGCAGTTATTGTATCTTATTGAGAAATTTGAGTAATAATATGTTTGATGGTGTTTTAGTCAATTAAGAATCTTTCTCCTGATTTGTTGATTTATATATCTGCAGGAGGAATTCGAGGAGCACGCTGAGAAAGTGAATACGCTCACCAAGTTGCCATCGAACGAGGATTTGCTCATTCTCTACGGGCTCTACAAGCAAGCCAAGTTTGGGAATGTGGACACCAGTTAATATTTTTGTTTTTCTTTGCATTTTAAGATCCTTTAGTTTTTGCTTCTTGGTTCAATTTTTGCAATGTTGTTGCCAATGTGTTTTTTTTTTTTGTTTATTGATTCAAAGGTCGTCCTGGAATGTTCAGCATGAAGGAGAGAGCCAAGTGGGATGCTTGGAAGGCTGTTGAAGGTAAAAAACAAATTCAAGAAATGAACTTTTTTATCTTAGTGATTTGCGATTCTTGTTCCAAGTTGAAACACTTTTCTTTGCTTTGGGGAGCCATATTTGAACTGTCATTGTCGTCGTTTTGTTTATGATGTCAGGGAAATCATCGGAAGAAGCCATGAATGACTATATCACTAAGGTCAAGCAACTCTTGGAAGATGCTGCTTCCAGTGCTTGAACCTGATGGAATCATATGATTGATCAATCCCTCCTCTGCAGTAACTTTATCTTAAGCAATCAAATAACATAGCATAAGACTTGTTCTTGCTCTTGTGTTTCTATCATATTAAAATCTCTCTACTTTGTGACATGGTTTGATCTCTTAAAAGTGCTTGATATTGGTCTAAACAAAGAATCATGATGCAAATTAAATCCATAGGTTATGTTTGGTCAGTCCGTGATATGATCTTGTTGAATTGAAGATGATGCTCATATTTGGTCCGTATATCTGTCTTTCTCCATGGTTCCCTACAAATTTGAGGGCTATATAACTTGGTAGATAATTTATTGATTGCAGATTACTTAAAAAATATATATATATATATATATATCTTAATTGGATATACCTAAATTCAGTAAATTAAATAATATTGTAGAATAATAATCAATTGTATATTGATCATACTTAGAGCATGTTTACTCATAAACCAAAATGAGTATCATTAACAGTTTTTTATTATTGTTTCATGAGTTGAAACCCAAAATGAGTATCAATAGACTCACCCCAATGATACTTTTCATCCAAATATCAATCCAAAATATATATTTTTATTATTATTCATAGGATGATACCCACAAAAAAATCATGAGTAAACATGCTCTAATATTTATAGCCCAATTCCTTTGTGTTAGTTAGGCCTGAGCATTCGGGTACCCGTTCGGGTTCGGTTCTTTTTTTTTGGGTATCGGGTCTATTCGGGTAGGGGGTCAAGACCCATTCGGGTATTCTAAAAATTCGGTTCGGGTTCGGTTCGGGTTTGGGTCGGTTCGGATATTTTAATAAAAAAAAGCAAAATACCCAAAAATAACCAAAAATACCCAAAATATTTTCGGGTTCGGGTCGGGTTCGGGTTTTTAACTCATATATACCCAAATCTAACCGAAATACCCGATTTCTCGAAAATACATTGGTTACTCTTTACCCAAATATAACCAAAAATATCTAAAAATACTAAAATTACCCAAAAGAAAACTACATCATTAGTTACTTTTTAACCAAATATATCCAAATGTATCCGAATTACTCAAAAATACCTATTATATTCGGATTTATGATTGTAATTTTAGGTATTTCGGGTATTATAAATATAAATATAACTAATATTTTTAGATGTATATTTGTATTCGGGTACATTCGGGTATTGGATTCGGTTCGGGTTCGGTTCGAGTTTTTTTCGGGTAGGAGGTTAGGACCCTTTCGGGTATTTTTAAAAATCGGGTTCGGGTTTGGTTCGGATATTTTTAAAAATCGGGTTCGGGTTCGGTTCAGGTATTTTTCGGGTTTTTCGGTTCGGGTATTCGGTTCTGGGTATTTTGCCCAGGCCTAATGTTAGTGATCGTCTTTAATTGTGTGTTTCATAGAAAAAAATGTATCTCATGCACTACAATGTTTTAAATGACGTTTAGAAATCTATTTCATTTACTATAAAAAAATTTTCAAATGTTTTTTTTTCAAATGTTATTTTCTTAGTTAAATAATTTCTATTGCTTATGTTTCTAATTTTTTTTGTTAAAAAAGGGATCTTTCTATTTTTTTTTTTTTTTGGACAAACAGGGATCTTTCTATTTAAACCAAATTAATATATCCTAACGTCCATCAAATGTACATTACAATTGTCACAAATGCATGAACAAACTTGGCATATATTCGACAACCCAAAACAAAATAAATATATTAAAAATATTTATATTATAATATTATCATAATTGTAAATTCGTAATTCACAAAATATATCAGAAAATTTAACAATTTGAATATTTTTATTCGATTGATCAGTACTCTAATTTATAGAAGAAACATATTAAAATATATTGAAAGAACTGGGAAATTTTTTAAATAAACCGAAAAAGCGATCCGTCTGGTTTTTGTCTGTCCCTTATTTCAAAATTTGAAAACCAAACGTTCCCGATTTTCATCCTTTTGTGTTCTCCACCGGAGCCTTTACGCCGCAATACCGCCGCCTTCGCCGCTTCAGCTGCATCGGTGAATGTAAATAGCCGTCGTCTTATTCTAATAAGGTAAGTCATCATCATCTTCATATTTTTCGTCTTCTTCTTCTTCTTCTCGTATAAACCCTAATTTCGAAGGGTTCTATGCAGTCACAGTGTTTCCAAATCCTCGAAAACCATCCAATTTACCTCCAATTTGATTGCAATTTCTGGGAATTTTCCCCATTTTGTTTGATTCGATTTAGCTTTTGACTTTGATAAACCACACGAAATCGATTAAGTATGTTAAGACTTTGTTTTCTTTGTGCATTTGGTGTTTCGATTATTCTTATAGCTTCGATTTAGCTGATTACATCGAATGGCTCGTTTTTTTGTTGTCTCAGGTTGCAATGTCTTTGTTAAGTAGGTTCTTTTACAAGAGACCACCAGATGGATTACTTGAATTTGCTGATAGAGTTTATGGTAATCATCACCATTCCTTTTCTTAATCATGAATTAGTGATTAACAATTTAGTTTAATAGTCATCTAACAGTGTAATTTCGACAGTTTTTGATTCATGTTTTTGCACGGAGGTGTTGGCGGATAGCTTGTACCAAATCTTCTTGCATGAAGTTATCAATGATTTACACGAGGAATTCCCGGAATCGTCTT